GAAGCCTCATTTCTATGAATGTTTTCTCATTAGTCAAGAAATGGAATGGGGAATACATGTAAATCCATGGCTAACTCATTTCAATGTATAACAAAAACTACTGTAATGATATAAAGTAATTAGCCTCCAACTAATAAAAATAAATGGAAAAAAAAAAAAGAAATGAAAACACACAGATAACAAGTAGAAGAGGGAGGGAAGTCAAGAGAAACACCAATGGCCCCAAAGATATTAAAAATATCAGCAAGAAATAAGACAGTCATTCAACCTGATCCAACAGGGGAAACTTGCCCTAAATCACAAGCTGAGAGAGGGAAAAGAAATTTGGGAAGTAGTAGTGCTGTTAGATCCTGAAATGCAGGAGGCCAAGTAGATGAGGGGAGGCTCTGCAAGACAACTGAGAGCCCGAAGAGGCTGGGCTATTTTAGATGGCAAAGCAAGGGGTGCTTGATTGCGGAGAGAAGAATCCTCTCTCCCCAGTGACACTTACTTTGAAGGCTGAGGGCAGCTGCAGGCACCGGAAGGAAAAGGAAATGGAGATCAAAGGAACACGACCAGGAGGACACCTCACTCTTTTCACTGTACACCACCTGTTCTGAGGAGCTCACAGCACTTCACAAGACTTAACTGAAGAATATACTGGAGGCAGAAAATGCAACAAGAACTTGCCCAAGTTCACTCACAAAAACAGGTGAGGGGCAGGGCTGCTGGCCACAGAGGCCTCTACTCTCGGTCATCTATTCTAGGCAGGGAACCCAGAGAGTGTGTAATAAACACGAAAAACTCTGGGTTGCTATGAGTCCCAAGGGGAGTGGGTAATTGACTGATACCAAAAAAACCTGGCCAGGACTCAGGGATTATCATAAAGTTTCCTATTTCTGCCCCCAAGGGAAATTCCTGCCCATCTGTATTAAGTCGGTGATCAACTCCTTACAAATGACCCTACAACAGGGCACTTCTCTCAGATCTATCCCTGATACAGCAGTTTCAGAACAATCAGTCCAAAAGACACTGGAGATTTGTGAAGACGCAAGGAGAAGCATATAGTTACTGAGATAGCTTCATATATTCTCAAGTAGCCTCAATGAGGACTTAGGTATGAAGTCAACAGATGTCAGGGTCCTAGCATGTAAGCCAGGGGTTCATAATCCAACAGTGGGCTGCTGGTGGAACTTAATAGATACACAAATAACAAACCCTACCCCCGAGCTTCTGATTCCATATAGACAGGACGGGGCATAGGAATGGGTACTTTTTAGAAGCTGCACAGGTATTCTGATGTCTTAAAGCTCTCCTGACCATTTCCCCAAGTTGACCACCAACAAACTAAATCCAGTAATCTATAAATGCTTTGAAAATGAATATGATCTCCCTCTACCAAATCAGCAGAGTATAGAGTCACAATACTAATATCTGGGCTCAAACACTAAGCAAAAGCTGAAATTAGATTATTGCCAGTTTTTTCTTCTCTACAAAACTCACCTACACAAACTTTTCTCATTGCCACATATTAAAAGGCTCAAAGCACCACCATACAGTCAGGCAGGAGAAACACTGAGGAAAGAAATGGGGGGGAGGGGGGACAGAGAGTAAATAAGACTTATATTCATAAAAACTGAGAACCGGAAGAAAGCTGCAGTTACTTTGCCACCCATTGTTTTCAAAGGGATAATATACTAATGTATAACTCAGGTTGGACTAATGGCTATTAATAAGGAAGATGATTTCAAAACCTCCCTTACTCACTTCTTCAAAACCTAACAACCCTCCAGGACAGGCAATGCTTTTGTATCCCTAACTTGAATCTTGCTTGCTTGGCTCCAGTCCATTTCTGTCCTTTGTTAAAATGAAAAACAACTCAGCTCCTTCCACATAAAAATCTTTCAGAAAGTTTAAGAAAAGAGGGGGAGGGTTAGCCACCAAGAGCACATACATTTGCTTCTTTTTTTTTTTTAATATATTTACTTCTTAAGGAAAATGACAGTTCAACCAAAATGAGAGAAAGAATTGAAAAATTGCACAGGATTTGAAATTGTAGGGTGTTTACAACTGATAACCTTGAGTTCCACTTCATCAAGACTCAGCAGATCTGGCATAAAACCTCAAATTACTCTTCTCTAACTCTGTTAACACTGCAGACACTTCTTTCCTTCCCTTAGAGAAAGTCTAATAGAAATCCTAGCTCTCACCTACTCTCTCTAATAACTTAAATCCCCATCTCTACTGGCTCTCACTTTGGCTTTTAACCATATTTTAACCATATTTTTAACTAGGTCTCTTCTGAATTAAAAAGCTTTTAATGAGCACTACTTTCTGCACATATGTACTTCTCTTTCTCTCTAATGCCCTTCACACCTAAATAGGATGTGTCTCTATTTCTTTTTTTCTTTTCAACATTTTATTATTTCTAATTTTGATTTCTAAAGAAGTCACAAATTCCTCCTGAACATTTGCTCTTCTTCTGGAATGTACCCCCACTATTTTGACACATTTTAATTTTTCCCATCCATTTATTCATTTAGTATTTAGATCATTCCTTACACTGTACTAAACCCGGTGATGTAAAGGAAATAAAGAACATGGCCCTGACCTTAAAAAATGAAGACATACATAAAACAACGATTAGAGACTGGTTCCAAGGTAGTAGGGCTAGTTTGAGAAGGCCCTGTGGCTCCAGTAAATATAGAGTTGGATCTAAAAATAAGTGGAGAATTTGGTGAAAAGGCTACTTTAGATAGAAGGAACAGTTATGATTCAAAGCAACAGGCCATATGAGGTAAGAGCTGCATAAAGGCCCTCTGTCACTTCCTTCTTTGCCCCCAACCCCCACAAAATGCATATGTCCTTTGGTCTTCAAATTTTGCTTCAGAGTTAGTTATCCATGAATCACAAGCTTTATGACTGTTAGCACAGCTACCACATATTAGAGCAGCACACAAAGCCCTATACACCAGGTTTTATGTTGGTTACCACAAGGCAGGCTTTTAGAATCATCTCGGGTAGTCTTCAATAAAGAGTGCATGGAGTCGGGCATCTGCAAGAGGCAAGGTCTGAGGCACACAAAGGCAGAGCTACTACTTTTGGGTGCTAAAGATATGTACCAGCACTCGAGCTCAGTCAGACTACTCAAGGGTCATTCAACTTCAGCTAAGTATTTCCTTCATTCACAGCTCTAGGACAAACAAAGCCATTTAAAGCAGTTTGAAGCACTGAATTCCTATGTGAAGCAGGGACATTTAATGGTGATGCGAAAGATTCCAGTTTTCACTGCTTTCCTGGAGAGCTTCTCCTCTTCTCTTGTCTCAGAACTCACAGTTCAAGCATCCCTTCCTCTGTGAAGGCTTTTTCCTAAACCCCCTAAGCTGATTTAGGTTCCCTGCCCTGTACTGCCATAAACACCTTTATACTTAGCCACATCATGTTGTAATTATTTGTTTGCATGTCTGACTAGCCACAAGCTCTTTGATGGCAAGGATAATGTTTTATTCATCACTGATTCTACACATAATCGGCACTTAATAAACATTTGTCAAATGTATTAATGATTAGTGACATGGTAAATCTTAAAGAATGATGACCATACTTTCTGGATTCCAGACCAAAATTACAATATGGACTAATGCTGAAGACTAAAATTCCACAATACTTTTCTGTTACCTGTATCATTCTGGGTTAGAAAAAGAGGCCAAAGATACAAGAAGATGGCTCTAACAATGCGGGTCACTGACAAGTAACCAGCCAGGAATTCGAGAGCCTCCAACACCAAGAATGATCGATCCAACACAACAAACAAGGAACAGAGCCAAATCCAAGACAGTTGTCTATGTTTCAGGTTCATTCTCCTGCCTTTGGAGATTACGAACAATGGTCAATGAGGACCCCTGGAAAAGTCACACTCTCCACAGCCATGGAACCTTGTGGCCAATTATGATTCCTGCTGAAAGAATATACAGGAAAGGTGGTCATTTGTGACCAAAGCCAAGTAAGCTTCCACTAAGGGACAGGGATCTAAGTCCTCCCAGAACTTTGCCATGCTGTACATTAGCATTCCAAATCATTCCTCACTGGGTTTACTCATCTCTGAAGAGATGCAGGCAAGGCAATAAAATGCTGCTGTCTCAAATGCCTCTCCCTGTAGCAATCCTGAACCACACAAGGCCACTGTGTTTACAGGCTGCTAATACGACACAAAAGTCTAATCTGATCCTGTGGGAACAAGGCCCCACGTACCCTCAGGGATTAAATACATTTAGTCGGCTTTTGTATTCCCAAACTTGTGGGGCTCTACGAAATTGAACAAAGCATAAACACCACCACTCAGACAAGTGAGGAGATGGAAGGGGACTTGGTTTCTGGAGAACTTCTGCAGCAGGGTGGGATATAGCGAATCAGATGAGCAATGTCCAGGGGCAAATCAGAATTTGCTTGGCTGGCAGATACTTGGCTCCTTGCATGTTACCTTTTCTAAAAAGCCAAGAAACTACAGTTAAATTAATTCAGGTCTCTTGAATAGACAAGTAAGTTTGTTTTGACCCCAGGGAAGAGCATTTACCAAGCCAATTCCTCTGACTAGGTGTTTAGCATATTTCTGCTACCACTGTCTTACATAAACCCAGCTGTGACACTTAACACTTGTGGTAACTCAGCCCTTCACAGGATACGTGGTCCCAATACTTTCTTCCAAGAAGGAAAACTGAGTCATAGCATATCAACTGGCTTCCCCAAGCACAGCCTTAGTTTGTAGTGAGGCCACAACTGAACCCTCATGTTGCCTTCCTCATGCTCTTTTCGCGGATGAATCCCAGCAATGCTCACCCCTGCGGCTCTATTCCCTTTACCCTATAACTAAATCACTGCTTTCTTGAGAGGCAGAGATGGTCCTTTAGAGCCACCATGAGCTTCTAGTTCTCCTCCTTCCCCAGAAAGAGTAAGGTAAAAGACGTACATGGAGCAGAGAAGAGGAGGGACGGGAAGGGTTGGCTTCCAATACTAGGACTCACCTTGGAGCTGAGGTCCTCTCGCCGGTTTCCTGCCTTACTCCTGCGTAATTTGATGGACGGAGATCGCAGAAGGTTCTTGATCCGGCTGGTAATGGTTGACCCCTCCACAGCCATCATGATGAGGAGCCCCTGGGACAACTCCTGGCCCAATCCTGGGACTTGCCTCAACAGCGGCAAAGCTTGCCCACTCCACAGGCCCTTCCAGTATGCCCTCTCACTGACCTGAGATGGTAGAGGCCACCTTAACCTTCTGCCTAGCAGTGCCTGCAGCTCTTATCTCTAGGTACCTGCCCTCTCCCTTAGCCTCATTCCCACCTTCAAGCCCTGCGCGATTTCCTAAAACGCCTTAAGGACAGACTCAGGTAAAGGGGGCGTTAAAAAGCCTGAGCTGCGAAGAAATGCCAGGCCCACACCTGCCAGAGGCGTTCAATTGAAAGGATAAGATGGGCCCTAGAAGGGCGAGTGGCTGGTCCGATTCCCGTTAATTCCCAGCTGTTTTCATGGCAACAGCAGTGTCTAAAGGAGGACGACACCGAGGCTACCAAGGAATCCCGCAGCGGTCGCGAGCACCTGCGCCGGCTACCGCAGGGACACTCAGCGCGGCGGCGCTCGTCTTGGCCCTGCAACCCGTTCTGCCACGGGGGCCTCCCTCCCCCACCCACGACCCTCCCGAGCTCGCTCACAGGCCGCCACGGGAGCCCTAGATCTTTCACTTTCCGCTCCCTCAGAAGCCCCTGCTACTCGCTAGCGCCCCCGCTCGGGCCCAGCCTCACCAGCCCCCGGGCGCGAGGGCCGCCCGGCTCGCAGCGCCCTCAGGCATCGCGCTCAGCGATTTCAGCTCCGCTGCGGCAGTGGCAGAAGCAGCTATGGTGGCACGAGCGGCTCAAAACGCGAACTACCGTCTGGGCTCAGCCACCGGCTGGGTAGGAGGAGCGGAGGCGAGGGGGCGCGGCCTCTACGCACGGGGGCGTTCCCAGAGTGGACGAGTACGGCTCACGGGGGCGGGGCCCAGGAAAGGGCCTAGGAAGCCGAGGACTGGGCACTCAGGAATCACGGATTCCGCACCATGCAGTCGCGACTACGGATCCTAGAGGGAGGTCGTCAGAACACGGCTTCAGAACTGAGAAAACCAAGCCTTTTATGGTATTATCAGGCCTGATCCCCCCAGAGAAGCGCACTTCCCAGAACCCTAACAGGAATAGGTAACCACGCCCCCAGCGGCACTATGGTTGGCTTTTAATAGGCCGGAGGGACCAGAGCTGAAACTAACTTCTAGCTCATAGTTACAGGACTGGGTACAGCCATAAAGTCTGCTCCTAAGCGCTGGGATTTAAAGTGGCTAGAATAATTTCTGTTCCCCGCCTGCCGGGCGCACTGACCTGCCTGGAAACGATCTTCATGAGTAAGTCGATCGCTACGAAGTGTATTGAACTAGGCAACCTGATTGGCCGCGGTGGAAGAAGGCGGAAGGAGCTGATAGCCTAGGATAGAGCTTTAGGCGGGAAGGGGGCAGTCGGGTCAACGTGCCGATGAGACATTTGTTTGATGTTTTCTTTAGCCTCTAATGTTCCATCTCGTTCTCATCCAGTTAACCAGTTGCTCCAGCCATTTTCCATGTTCCTGTCAAAACACACTCACGAACCCTTGTCCCTGGTACTGTTGCTTTGACGAGATCACTGCCAAGCTTGTTGGCACCAGATTCAATAGTAAGAGTTTTTCTAGCTCACGGGTGGGGGAGAGAAGTTGGGGGGATGGCAGAGCGTGCACAGAAATACCTTTGCCTATTATTTAATACGTGTTTCAACCTAACTTTGTTTTCTAGGTGCCTTTCTGCCTAGTTGCTAGAGAAATTACCTTACAAAAAGGTTAACCTATTCCAACAGTTGGGCTCCAGAGAGAGTACACCGATATGCCTCCCATCTGATCCAAATCCTTAGGGGAACCCTGGGGGAGATGAGATGTTAGCAAGAGGGAAAAACTCTTAAACCTACTGCTGTGAGTGGCTCTTTTACTGCCAAGTGGCAAAACAGGTATATACTTGTGTGAGAACTGTAAAGCTAACAAGTTGACATAAACATCAGGGAAGTCACTTCTTGGAAAAACAGCTGGCAATAGCTACCAGAGGCATGACCTTTCCTTCCTTTCAACCATGCATCACAGAGGTAATGAAATATAAAATGGTATTTTCACATTTTCAAATCTGGAGGTGGTGGTCAGGGTTATTAGCCATAATAGTATGAAATAGGGGGCTGGTTCCTTTTACTCCTTGCTAGTCTGATTTTTGCCACCATGGCGGCAGGCAGGGGATCGTGGAGGATCAATGTAGCACTGCTAATAAAGGGTGCCACCTGGTGTCCTTACTTGTGTGCTGCATTCCCCCTAGCAAATCACCTGCACCCATTAGAGTTGTCCCTAATTCTATCTGGATCATTTCTCACTTACCTAACCACTCATGGCCAGGAAAGTCATTGGTCATTTCCTATCCAAAGCTACTTGGTTTATCCTCTTCAGAAAAATGTTCTCCAAATTACTCCCATCTGAAGCTGAAGTTACAGAAACAATACAAGCTCCTGCTTTCATTGTCTGAAATAATCTAGCAAAAACCAACTGAGAACAGTGTAATTAATGAAGAGACTTCTTAAGTCTAGAATCTGGATACTTCCAGTCTAGGATCAACATCACGTATTTTTTAATTCTTCACAATTGAGTCCTACCTTACTGTCTAAGGATATGTAACCATGTAGAAATAGGCTATGTAACCATGAGAAATAGGCTTGTAGGCTCAGAAAATAATCATCCCAGGCCCAGTGTGAACAGACTCATTATTCCTTTTTCTTCAAATAATTGCTATCCCACCCTCCAAAATGCAGCTGACCCTTACACATGTATTTCATTGTTCATATGCTATTTCACGTTTTATTCACTTGTCTATGTCCTCAATATGTATACATGGTTGTCAGATTCTAAAATTCCACATGTCTAGGAAAGGTGTATACAATTGTCTGTTTTCACGATCATAATTAGATCAGATTTTTAAATTTACCCTAGGCTTAACATACAAATAGGTGCAATTATAAGATCCTAGAAAACTAACAGGCTAAAGTAAACAGTTGCTCATCAATTCAAATATTTATTGAGCACCTTTACATGCAAGGCACTGTGGGACAGCTGAGACCAATGTTTGCAGTTGGAAACAGGGTAGATCTCAAAGCAATGCTTCCAAGACTGCTTTCTTATTTAACAAAATCTAATAACATAGTTTACAATGACAGAATTTAGTAGAGCTTAGATTTGTCTCAAAATTTCAACTCGTCCCACGGTTTAGCCTTCTCACCCTCCACACACTTCCATCCCTATTAATCAGCACTTAGCATCTTTGTAGAGCAGTTCAGTCATATGCTACAATATGCTACAATTATGCCTCAGTCCAAAAGTTGTATATATCAAATTATTTCCCTCTAACTTAATTTCAAAAAAGCATTTTACTTTTTCTCCAAATGGCAGTAAGTCTATATACCTCAGCTTTAATTTTCCCTGCATCCAGCAATTCATGTTCATGGAAAATTTCATAAGAGATAACACAACATGAAGTACTGATGCCCTTATATTTTCTTAAAAATCAACAATTCTGTGCAATAAATCTATTCTGATTCTTGGTTATCAATCATTCTCTACAAAAGTATCTGAAAATGTGCCTACTTTGTGCCTCTGTGCACTGTTTTTTGTTTTAATCTGAGAGTGAGGAATAAGGGTCATCATTTTTCAGACTCTCTTCAAAGTGCATTTACCTCTCAATTCACCTGATATCATTCCAATATCTCAACTAGTATAATCAGGGGGAAAAAACTATCTATACTACTAAACCCTGCTCTAAATAATATATGGATTGTCTGCCTTTCTTCTGTGGTCAAAACGTTTTCAAACTTGTTATAGAAAGGCCTGTAGTTAAGTATCTCATCAAATTCTGGGGAAAAAACATTACACACAGTAATATGTATGAAGTTTATATAACTGGACTTGATCTGTTAGTGACCTTAGAGTAGTTTAATGTCTAAGGGACTCCTTTAATAAATTTTTTTGTAAACTGTGACACTAGTTAACCTATAGCTTGCTTTAAGAACATCTATTGTCCTCAGCCACTAAGACTATGGGTAACAGGTATGTTACACCCTGCACACACTGGTACTAGGCGGCTAGTCATTCTTCACTGTAGAATGACTTCTTGAGACAAATACTTGCCATCAAGTTGTATGAAATTTCAAATTCTCCATGTAAAACATGCTGCAAAGATTAGAATACCAAAAACCTCCCCCAAATGGCATGTCAGAAACTTTGAAAACAGTAAGGAATTCCTATGATTAAACTCCTTCAGTGGAACCCCTCCCAGATGTCTCAGAGCATCAGAATTCTCTATTACAACTCAGCACAAACCTAGCAACACCAAGTCCTGCTTTAATTATTGTAACTGATTTATTTCAAGTTTATACATTCTCCCACTGACCAAACTTCTTCTGTTCTTAGGTTTCTAAAAAAATAGTCATTTTTCAAAAGCAGAAAAAGAAAGATATATATTTAATATATAAAAGAAAAAGCTAAATCTGACATAATTATATTCTTAAAAACATTCCATTTATTTACAGGTGTATAAAAAGGCGAATTATTGGTCTACTGAGATCATGCTTCTTATAGTTAGGGTGAGAGCTCACTATCCTCCCAATTCCTCAACTCCTCACTCAACTACATCTTTCATAGTCACACATGAATTTTCATAGATCAGTTTCTCCTGGGGTAATGTTTAAAGGGTTGGAGTTTTTGGAGACTTAGATTTCTATCAAGACTGCAGGATTGTTTTCAAGACTGAGCCCTCCTCAAATTAGCCCTAACAACTCCCTAGTTCTAAGAGGTCTTGCAAACACCATTATTGGGGGGGAGGGGGTGTTTATAATGACATCTGCAGCCTTCCTTGAACACACTGGATCATCTCTCATTTCTATTTCTGGACATCTTCCATAAACAGTCAAATATCTTCCCATCAAGAAATGAATACTACCTATTTGTCTATTTTCTTCTAAAAAAGGGAACAGTGTTCAGAAGCAGAATGGTCCTTCTTTTCCTGAGGATTACTCGCTCACTTGCCTGCTCCTTGGCTGACCCTCAAAAGCTTTAAGAGCCTTGGAAAGTCAGGAGGGAACATGAGGACAAGACAAGCAAAGAAATAATGGGAAACTGCTATACCTGGATTAAACTACTAGCATCTCCAAGGACAGTTATTAGCAGGGAAGACAGGTGCTGGATTCCTTGGCTAAGGCATTGAATGAAATCTCCTGGGTAAAGAGAAGTGGGAGGGATAATGACAAGCTGAGTGGCGCTCATCACCTACTTCAAGCTCCTTCAGTAACCTTTAGAGGTGGGAAGGCTGGAGGCTGATGAGAAGGTCAAGAAAGGCAAGTAGCATAAAAAAACCAACAAAGAATGTGTTCCCGGTGCAATTCGCAGAGGAAACTTTCCCACCCTCTTCAATCTGTTTATTACCAGAGTTACTAGAAAGGGAACCAACCACGGAGGTAATAATTCACTGGCTAGGACCATTCCAACGTTGGTTTCACAACCTGGTTCTGAAGATATGCTGAGTGGGATTTGGGATAAAGAAGGCAGGGGATGTAGAAGAAACAGCACTGCCTAGGCACAGCCCAGGCACTGGAAGCTCTTGTGTTATTGTTTCACAACACAAGCAAATCCTGTCAATGAAGACAGAACAGGGGTTACATTCCAAAATATAATTATTTAAGAAAGGCAAAATGCAGCAGCTAAATCCCAGTCTATACATTTTCAGAATAGTGATTCTTGCCCCCAGGAGTTTCCAAGAGACCCCTCAAGTGCACCATGATTATTTACAAACTAGATAGGAAACATCATTTCTATACTCAATACAAATCTCATCTTCTAGGTTGAAAACTTCAGCCTTTGAGAAATCTATGAAAACAACTATACAAAAATATAAATATCTTTATCTTTACAGGCTGTCAGACCTTCATACCCTGACAGCTGAGTGAAAAAGCTCTACAGATCATTGAATCCATGGTAGCAGATAATAAAAAATATATCTTGTGATTCAAATACTGCCTTATTTCCCTGGTAAAGAGTGCCTACTGTGACTTTTCTTTTACAGCCTGTGCAGGTAACAGTGAATGAAACCTCCAAGCACCAGGAGGCTGGTTTGATGTGGGAAATACCCAGCCCCACAGTTTTTGTTTGTTTGTTTGTTTGTTTTGGCCACTGTCTCTGGTATGGGGAGGGAATGCTTATCATTTTACATATCTCTTGAGTGTTGTGATTTGTGAAAGGGGAAGGGCTCCCTGTATGTCTACCTCCAACAAATATATTCAAGGTAGAAATCCTTGGTACCGTGAAATGGTCTTCTCAACACCCAAACATAGTTAGGGAGAACTAGTTAATTTTTACATCTCAAAATGATTACCTTAGTAATAAAAGCTTTTTAAGAAGCATTCCTACTTTACCAGAAGGCTTAGATTTATAATCCTGATTGAAAAGGTGAGGGAATGGAAGCTACTTGGGATATGAAAGAAGAGAAAATTTTGTTGAATGATACTAAGTCCTTCACTTTGGTATTCCATGGTACCCATCCTCTCTCCCCCTATTCTGAAACACCAACTAAAAGCTACCTCTTCTGGATCCCTTTGCACAAGTGCATCACATTCCTTGGACTTCAGACTAAAAACAACAGCTATCAACTAAGGTTCAGTCCATAGCAACTCCTAAGTCTCAAGCAGCTTTTACTCTGGGAGGGAAGAACTAGGAACCACTATGGACCTAGTCTTGTTACAAATTCCTTGGGTAAGAGGGGCACCTCGTGTTCAGTAATGGATCACATCTTCTTGGAGAGGATGAGAAGACCCAGCACCACAAGTGAGGTAACACATTTTAACATGATCAGAATTTCATAGTAGTTAATTTCTTTTACGGACGTCAGCACCCTACCCCCTTTCTCTACCATCATTCACCACATTTCAAAGTCAAGGATCACAGTTCCATGACACAAACAAACAGGTGCCTGCAGAGAAAGGAGGTTTCCCCTCACAGCCTGGCTTCTGCCTGAGGACAACTAAGTTCATTTCCCTGCAGAACTTGGTGAGGCCCCAGTGTTGCCCAGTTTGGCCACAACAGGTGCCAATGTAGGCATCACCTTGCTCTCCCGGCATTCCTGATCATTCCCTGTTAAGTTCATTTTGTGTCCAACTGACCCAACTTTGGCAGCTACAGGTGCCAAACAAGGCATCACCTTGAGACTCTGACCATCTGTATCACTGGAAGTATTAGCTACTTTTAAACCTAGAGGTGCCAACTTTGGCATCGGCCTCCACAAAGTATCCGTGCTGTTGTTTTCTACGCCACCCTTCATGTGTAGGATTGGGGGTGAGGACACACTTTCAGGCTCGGCAGGGATGCTAGAAGTACTCTTCCCTTCATCACCCGCTTTTCTGTGGGAAATGAGGGACTCCTTTATCTCAGAGTCAATGACAATCTTAAGCACATCTGGTTCAGAGGCTGGTTCTGCAAGTTGCTTTTCATTCTCAGAAAAGTCATCATCTTCCAAGTGCAAGAGGAGGGGGCTGACAGAGTCACTCTCCCCTTGCACATCAGGCAATTCCTTCAAAGCAGTTCCCAAGTGGCCAACCTGAAAAGTTGCTCTGTTCCCAGGAGGAAGCTTACTGATAAAAGCCCGGCGAGCATCCCCTGGGAACTCTGTATCCAGAGAGCTAGGCAGTTCAGCCAGGCTAACAGAGTCATCATTTAACTGCTGATTAAGAAAGGCAATCTCATTGAGCAGAGATGTCAGTGTCTCATCAGTATCATCCTCATCTTCCATACTAGTTAGCAGTTCACTGGGATCCAATGCTGCTTCCTCTATAGCTGATGCTACCTTTCTCAATTCCATCTCTATGCTTGAGTCTTTGAGATCTTTCATCTTTAATTTATGAAATGGAGACTCCTTTGTCTTCAGTCTCTCCCGTCTTGATTCACTCTCTTTCCATTTATGCTGACTCCCCCTGGTATCACCAGAAATCTTTTTGGGTAAGAATTCTTGTGCTTCTTGCATACTGGAAACATCAACTATTTGTGGAAAACCAGAATCTTTATGTGACAGATAAACCTGTGCGGTACCCAGCGCCATTCTGACATCTCTATGGTTGCCTCTGGAAGAGATTCTACCCAAATCTTCACAGGAGTTATCCTCACTCCTGACAGTGTTTTTCAGGTGGTCAGGTGGCTTGCCATCAGGAACTTCATGGGGGTATTTGCTGCCACTCATATCTACCAAACCTCCCTCCGTTGCCAATGATGTCACATTAACAATTCTTGGCATCATAAATAAGTCGTCATTTTCTAGGGAAGAAAAAAAAAAACTCATTTATCTATAGTGGTAAGCACACTCTCCCATTCATACCCAATAACCATCTCAAAGGAGTTAAATTTTCACCATCTACTTTTAGCAAGAAGATGAAAGGAAATACTAGTTTTTCAAATTACAGAGTTAGCCTAACAAGAAAATAGGTAAAATTTAACCAAAAGACACACTGATATTCCATCAATAATAAAAGTTCTACTTTTTATATAAATGCTCCCCAAGTTTATTTTTTTATACTGAGGCAGACACGCATCTTGATTCTGTTCACCCAATAACTGCTACTCTGACAGAAAGATGAAGCCCTTAGAGGCAGCACTCTAGGAAGATAACTCCTCCAGACTGGGTTTAGCAGTATTAGTATTGGTAAAGATACCCTTTTACCTTAACAGAAATTTAGGTCTGTAAAACCTAAATCATCAAAGTAAAAATTCCTTTTCAACTCAATCCTTATCGCCAAATGAGAGGGTGCTCCAACTTTATCAGGTTGGTAATGTATGAGTGCACCATCTCTGAGTACAACACAATACTGATACGTATTTATCAACACCAAAAGCTAAAATAATGACTCCTCACATTCCTTTTACTTTCACATCTTTAAAATTCTTTCCCTAATTAGAAATTGAGCTTCTCAGGTGGCGCCAGGGGTGAAGAACCCTCCTGTCAATGCAGGAGACATAAGAGAGGAGGATTTGCTCCCTGGGTAGGGAAGATCTCTTGGAGGAGGGCATGGCAACCCACTTCAGTATTCTTGCCTGGAGAATCCCATGGCCAGAGGAGCCCGGAGGGCTACAGTTTATAGGGTCACAAAGAGTTGGACACAACTGAAGCAACTTAGCACACAATTAGAAATTAGGAGAGAACACAAAATAGTTCCCATTCCCAGGTTAAAAAAAAGACCAATCAATACCACAGACAGAGCCAAACATGTTCTAAAAAGAGAACCCTCTCATACAGACTTGAATACAAGTCTTTATCACTACAGAACACATTCAAAGGCTTTCTCTGTCACTTTGAGATATCAGAGATAACTCTTTACACCACCCATTTAAGACAACACTCAAGACAATACCTGATTGAGCCACAGCACTACTGGCAACTTGAGGTTTCAGATCTGCTTCTAAGAGAGCAGGAGAAACAGTAACCACTGGTCCTGAGAATAGGGGACCTTTCAAGGTGAGCAATTGCCCTTGTGGAGTCATCACAATGTTGGCAGAGGTGTGTGGAGTATTAGAGGGTGAGGTATTTTCTGTAAAGAAGATCAGAAATTAGTTAAGGATAAAAGATCTTCAATTAATGCTAGTGTACAGCCTAGGAATGTAGGAGACATGCCTAAAACCACACTCTGACTTAAAAAGCAAGACATTTCAAATTTGTTGGGGAAACTCAACTTGCAATTTACTTGTTGAACGATTTTTCAGTAATGGTTACCTGTCCACTGATTCTCTTAAGGGACAGAATTTTATTTTTGCTGAGGAACAGAGCTACGGAACCACTTTTTCAATGGAATGCTTCTGATGGTCTTGCTGGTAAAACAGGATGAAGATACACACTATTTTATCCCTAGGTATGCTTTCCTATAAACCTCTAAGAAACTGCTTCAAGTTTTTAGACCTCAGTTTTTCCATCTGTAAAATAAGGTAACTGGCCTAAATGGTCACTAAAGTCCTTACTTATTTAGCAATAACATCACTTGAATGTGCAATGTTAAAACTAACTCGTATTTTAGTATCCATCACCACCTTCTTAGCTGATATAACAAACCAGATTTCCTTGGTTCCTACACTTGGCTATCCAAAGAGCAAAAGAGTATATATATATCCATTCTCATCAGTATATATATATCCATTCTCAAAGGATATAAACAAGTAATGTAAAGTCAACACAGCCTCACCTTCGAAATCATATAGGACAGAGTAAGAAATCAAAACCAATTTACTTTGCTCCTGTATAGCAATTCACGGACAGACTGCAATCTGATTAAAAAGAGCCTGGTTAACAAAAATAAACTCCTACCAGAAATAAGTCTTATATGTTACCATGATGGATAACTTATTAGGATCTGCTTGAGTGTGTAAAGCTAGAAAATGAAATCTAACGTGGTTAATATTCTGCTTTTAATACAACTCATCTTTCATCTAATTAAAACTAAAATTATGGCCAAGTTGTTCAGTTCTTTTAAGTAAACTAAATGTTCATCTGCATCAAGGAAAGCAAAGAAATGTCCCTCCTACCTGTGGCCTGGTCTTTTTTTCTGGAAAGAATCAAAGGCTTCCCCTTCCTGTTATTTATAAACATCTGTCCGAGATCTACAGATGATGCAGAAGCTCCTTCCTGCTGTTTGCTAGTTCTGGGAGACACATCAAACTCATCTGATTCCATCTTCTTTTTCCTCTTTTGTGCCTCTAATGCTTGTTGTTTTGCATAAATATACTCTAGCTTCTTCAGGACCACTTCTTCTGTCTTACCTATAGGTTGAGAGGGAATAAACGGTCACTCTCTATAAGACCCCATACAATAATGAGAAATAGAGTCCAGTTGATTTAACTATATCCCCCCAAAACTATGGCAGTCAAGAGTAATTATAATCCAAAAATAAATGTCCCACCCAGTCAAAAGATAATTCTGATGTTAACTCTGGGAACCAAGACTTAAATGAAGTAGTATTTGAAAAATCTACTAAGGATTTCCCTTACTAAAGCTATATTTATGGCCTTTACCAGAGATCATTCACCATTATCTCACCTGAAAGAGATGATACTTTCCGTATCAAAATATTCCGTTTGCGAGTCAGGAGATTCTTCTGTCCTATCAACTTGTCTGCCTGATCTGTTAGCCCCTGAATTTCACTGAATGCCTAGAAGAAAAATAGTAATATCATGTCCATCAATTTGCTTTTTCTGAAAAACAGGTGAGGTCTACACAAATTTGTTTAATAAAAACTTTTAAATCTAATATTTTAGAGAACTTTCTAATGTCATTTAAAACGATTTTTATTGTTTTACAAACTTATGGTTACCACTGGGGAAACAGGTAGGAGGTATAATAAACTGGAAGACTAGGACTGACATATACATGCTACTATATATAAAACAGTTAACCAGTAAGAACCTACTATTTATAGCACAGGCAACCCTATTCAATACTCTGTAACCGGCCTGTACAGGAAAAGAATCTAAAATAGAGTGGATGCATGTGTGTGTGTACATATATATATATATATATATGTATGTATGTATGTATGTATGGGCTTCCCTGGTGACTCAGTGGTAAAGAATCTCTCTGCCAATGCAGGAGACACAGGTTGGATCTGTGGGTAGCGAAGTTCCCCTTGAGAAAGAGATGGCAACCCACTCCAGTATTCTTGCCTGGGAAATCCCCAGACAGAGGAGCCTGGAGAGCTATAATCCATGGCGTCACAAAGAGTCAGAAACAACTTAGGGACTAAACAACTACAATGTATAACTGGTTCACTAACACAGCTAACTAACTAACATACTAACATAACACTGTAAATCAACTATACTCTAATAAAAATTTAAATAATAAAGTATACAAGTGGAAAAAAAAGTCAATTTCAAAAAGGAGGATTTTCTGGCTTCTACTTCTAGGGAAAGTGATTATTTATGAAGAGCACCAATGAGTGGTATTTTCACTACTGCAAGGAGATACAAAACATTTTTTACTCTGCTTAGATTTCAATAATCAACTTTAAAATCAACTCCTAAGCAAAATCTGGTTGAAACCACCTTGTTCTAGAGGGATGAAATGCTTGCCTTATACTCTTCCAACCTTTAATTATAAGCAATTGAAACAAAATTACCTTAGCTATTATTCTACATGCAAAATTAAAACTTCTGCTAGCTTGAAAACTACAGTTTCCTTTAAAGTGACTGTCAACCATTAAGAAGTATGTCAAAATAGTAGTTGTCTTGTGTCTTTCACCATGACAAACTTTTCTAAGTGCTATGGAGAACAAGTTTACAGAAATTGTTGTAAACAGAGTTTATCAGTTTATAAAGTTTCTAACTTTATTTTAAAAATGAATAATTACCTCTGCTGGTTCAGAATCTGACTTTCATTGAAAAGCAACTGATTGAATATAAGGATTTTCTTCCTAAGGGATTTATTGGACACTCACCAGTCCACATTCAAATGATAAACACAAGTTCTATTTCAATTTTCTTCCTTTTCCTTTTATGTATCTCAAGAAGATTCTTTTAGTCAAGCTCTTATTTGTCTGTCATTTACACAGACTTACCCTAGTAAGAATGAGACTTTTGGAAACCTTGGAAGAATGAAGTAACCCCAATGTGATCTTCAACTTCTCAAAGAGATCTCTCATTTCACCACGGCGGCGGCGTTCATTGGCAGTGTGTGTCCGGCGATAATACGCAAAAGCTTCTGCTTCTTTCTGTAGTTTTTCACTCCAGTAATCAGGTTTTAGCTTTAGAGGAACTTGTGCAGCCTATCCAAACAAAAGATTGCCTCCTAAATATCTTTCAAATCTACCCACCCTCTTCCACCACACCAAATGGCACTGTTCTGTATCAGACACCAACCATCTTCTGCCTAGAGTATCTTAATGGCCTCTCAGTTGGTCCTCTTACTACCAGTCTTTCTTTTCTCCAAATCAACAGTGTAAATTCTAAAACATGCTGATATGATATCACTTCTCAGCTCAAATTTCAACAGTTTTCAAATGAGGGATTGAGAGAGGGACTCTAAAAAGTTTATGTGTATAATTTATTATTGAGAGTTGCTTTTATGACACAAATTTCATGAAAAACTTGACTAGTGGAAAACAAGTTTAAAATTTTTTCTTAAATACTGGAAGACCCTTTACAATTTGGGAAAGGATCAACTGCCACTCTTCCTAAATCACTGTTGTCTCCAACCACTCCAAAGTGCTGTAAATTTCCTAAGCACTCTATAATTCCACACCTCCCTGTCATTACACAGGTTGTTGCCTGCACCTATCCCTTTCCACCCTCCTTTATGACTTAACAATTAAATGTAAACTTTTGCATTTTTCAGGAAAGTCTTCCTTAACTCTCAGGATGCCTTAGGCTTCCTTTCTCTCTTATCTATTCTATTTTTAAATCATTTAAAGAAGTAGTAGATGCATACAGGGTTTAAAATATAAAAATGTAAAGAGCTTATAATGAAAAGCAACTGTGCCTTGCACCTATACCTGGATCCTCAGAAACAACCACTTTTATTCTTTGAGTTGCTTTTTCTGCTTCTTAAGTCTATATCCTAAGTTAAAAATGATATTTTTAACTATTTACTTCCTGCTATGCAGAAAAGAATTCAGTTCACCACTCTCTTGCATCTCACCATCCCATCTTCCTAATACAGATAAATCATTTAGTTCTTCTATTGATCCCTTTGCAACTAGAATATAATTCTATCTCCATTTCTCATTTCACCCACAATAGACTGTCTCTGTAAAATGAGGGTATCGGTACTCATATCCTTTATTTCTTCTTCCCTCTTTTATAAACCTCCCAATCTGTAATTTGTACTTACACATTTTTCAAAACTGAAATTCTTCCACAGTGTTAGTAAGGATAAAGAGAAAATCTTGCTTAATCATGGTACCATGATATCCTACACAATATATTAACAAAATCAAAGAAAATGTATAATCTCATGGCTCCCTGGATTGCCAGCCATTATTTCAGATAACAAGTAATTTCTCAGGTCACTGGAAAAATCAGGAGTCTAGATAAGAAAGAATGCTAGCCTATTTCACATCACATCATTACATTATACAATTAGTTTTCAAATAAGCAAATCAAGTTTCACAAATTCCATGCCCATTTTAATTCCTCTAAATTATTCTATCAACTAGGTGGGGGGGGGGGGGGGGTGCATGACGGGGAGAATTAGGAAAAAAAACAGTAGTAGTATAATTTCATTAAGGGGGGCAAAAAAGCTGATTATATTAACTCATTGGTAAAAACAGCCCTGAAAAGTCATAATTAATATAACTAATGTTGTTTTACCTGCAAGGACAAATGTTATCAATTTTATTAAATGAGCAATTATCATTAAATATACTGTAAATACCTTTCGACTCCTTTCAGTAGCTTTTTCATCTGCAGAGACAGGCATACGGCACCTAAATAAAGACAGTATTTTCCAAAGTCTTATTGAAATTCAATAATCTAAGAGCTATTTCAAATCTATATAAAGCCAAACCATCCCTAATTGTCTAAACTGTGACTGGCTTCTTTTCCCATATTCCCATTTGTGGCAATATGATTTATTCAACAATACCCTTTTTTCTCAAAGTCTCCAAAAAAACCCTAAAACTGCAAATTACGTTTTTCAATTGTGAAACATTTCAAACATATAAAACTGTACAAACAAAATACATAATCAACATCCAGGTATCTGTCATTCAGCCTAAGAAATAAAATATCTCCAAAATATGGGCACATTCATCGCCTTCCTTCCTTCTCATGTAATTTTACTAGGAATGTACTGATTCATCTTTAAAAAGAAAATATTGTGTAGCATTTTAAACTTTCTTTAAATGTGTATGTAATGTGTATCTTTCTTCAACTGATTTGTTTCATTCAACATTACATATGAGATATGTTAATACTTGTAGTCTGATCATTTTACTGCTCTATAGTATTCCGAAGTGTGACTTCTCTAAATTTTATTTTTTTAGTATGTTAGTAGTTATTTACGTTGCATCCAAATTTTCACAATGGCAAATGCTGGAATGGACAACCCCACACATGACCCCTTGTACATGTGTGTGAACCCTTCTAGGATCTATATCTAGGAGTGGAACTGAGGGATGGAAGAAATGCATGCACATCTTCAACTGTAGTCACATCACACTGCTACCCAAAGAGGTAATAATAACTCATACTCCTACCCCACCTGTAGTATGTTCCCAGTGTTCCACAGCTAGACAATAATACTTCAGAAATCTCAATTTATCCAAACTTATGGGTATAAATTCGTAAAGTCATTGTGGTTTAATCTGCATTTCCCTAATTACTTGTGAGGGGGGAACAAATTTATGTATGTTTATTGGCAGTCCAGGTTTCCTCTTCTGTGATTTGCCCACGATATCCATTACTTATTTTTCTATTGGATCATACTGTTCTTTCCTATCTCTTTAAAATTTACTTAATTTTATTTATTTACTTCTGGCTGTGCTGGGTCTTCACTGCCGCACAGGCTTTTCTCTAGTTGCAGGGAGCAGGGGCTACTCTAGTTGTGTGGTGTGCAGGCTTCTCATTGCAGTGGCTTCTCTTGCAGTGAAGCTCGAAGCTTCACACAGGCTCTCGGACATGGGCTCCAATGCCTGCAGTACATGGGCTCAGCAGCTGGACCTCCCGCACTCTAGAGCACAGGCTTGACAGTAGTGGCCCACAGGCTTAGCTGCTCCGAGGCATGTGGGATCTTCCTGGATTAGGAATCAAACCCATGTTGCCAGCATTGGCAGGCAGATTTTTTTTACCAGCGGGGAAGCCCATGGATCACCATTTTCTTACTGACTTGTAAGAATTATTTTATATCCTTGATACTAATCTTCTAACACATATTGCAAATATTTTCCTTACAGTCTGAAATCGCCTTTTTACTGACAAATTTTTAACAATTTGTTCCTCTACAGTTTGTGCTCTTTAAGTGTTGATTATTTCCTGGTCCTTTATTATTCCAGTCCATAAAGAGGGAATCTGTTTACTGAAATCTTCGTCAATGTTTTTTTTTTCTTCAATTTTTTTCAATGTCTTTCAATAACATTTTATAAAAGTCTCGCACAACTTCTATCAAAAATCCCAAACAGCTTTTTTGTATTTTTAATTATATTTTGTTTGTTGCTACTGTTTTAGAACTCAATTTTAGCATACTGAACTTACATCCTGCAATATTACTGAACTTAAGTCTAATTAAGTTTTTAAGAGATTTAAATTCTTCCAATCATAACCAGCAGACAACTGAGGTGTTTGTGTGTGCTCAGTCATGTTCAACTCTTTGCAACCCCATGGGCTGTGGCCTGCCAGGCTCCTCTAGCCATGGTTTTCTCCAGGCAAGAATACTGGAGTGGGGTGCAATTTCTTACTCCAGGAGATCTTTCCACCCCAGGGACCGAACCTGTGTCGCTTGCATTGGCAGGCAGGTTCTTTACCACTAGCGCTAACTGGGAAGTCCAGGTAATTGAAGGACTCTCCTAATAGCCCTGGAGTGAAGAAAAATACCACCATATCCCTACCTTTGACTTTCTCACTAGGAATGAAGAATTACTCTTTTTCAACTCATTGCTAATTTAGGTAGCTGATGACATAATAGCTTGAAAAGCACAAGGTCTGGCACAAAATAACTCTTACCTTCTTTCTCTCACACCCCAATTCCTAATCAATATAAGGTTTACTAAAGCGTAACATTTTCTCCTAAGTCATCTTATCATTCTCTCTGTATTTTCATCTCATCAGCTGAACAGGCAGGAAAATGTTTCTAACCGTACCTCACCTGCTCAACTAGCAAAGTAACCAAATTTAGAATTTACAGCCATATCCTTAAAAGATAAAGAACTTTATTGAGTAGTCCACGTATCAGTTATGCTAGTTATTTCATATATTATCTGATTTAATCCCTTAAAAAAGGACATTTTACTCATTTCATAGGTAAAGAATCTAAGATTCAGAGAGATTACACACTTGCCCAAGGTTAAATAGCTACAAACTAGCAAAACTAGTATTTTAATGCCAATGTATCAGGCTCAGAAAGCATGTTATTCACATTTATATACTGTTTCCTAGCAATAACAAGGAAGTTAATTACCTCTGAATTTCAGCTCCTTTCCTCATCTACTAATAAGAAAAAAAGCTAGAGAAATAAAGGAACTATGTCAGTTACCCAGAACCCTTAACTAGAACATTCAGTTTTGCTTATGGTCACAAAACTACAACAAACAACAACAATCCAAAGAAAAATAAGACTTACGGCTGTTTCAAAATCTCTGTATGGACAGCTGTGCTCTTCATGTGGGCGACATTAATTTCCTCGGGGAGCTCTTCTACAGTCTCAATGTCCACTTGTTCTTCATCATCCTCAATGTATTCTATACAGTTATTCTGAAATACAGCAGTCCAACAGTAAATAAAGCATTGGGAAGCAAGCACAACTAAATTTTTCAACTGACTGTTTCCCTTATAAAGCCAACCAGTGCCAAACATTGATCTTTTTTTTTTTTTCAAACACTGATCTTAAACCATGAGTACTGCTAACCCTAAACCTGTTAATCTTAAAATGGAATTAAGTCATATAGACAGCATATGGTTAGGGCTAACAACCAAGAACTACATTATAAGTCACAGATATACTGAGTTGGCCAAAAAAGTTTGTTCAGGTTTCTCCACAAGATGGTATAGAAAAACCTGAACAAACTTTTTTTGACAACCCAACATGAGACATGATTAGACTAAAGAGACAAGAGTCTCCAAAGGGCTGTGTTGATGCTTCAATATTACTGCAAGTGGACAAATTCAAGTACAGATATATTAAAGCTGCATAAATCTAAAGATTAAATAGCAATCAAATAAAACATGGTGAGGGAGAAGGTAGAAAGCAGAAAAACTCAAGTTCTAGTGTAAAAGTGCCTCATGGTTAACCCCATATTAAACACCCACAAAAACACATTCAAGGCAGATATGGAAACAGAATATAGCCCAATCTTCTAAGTATCTCAATCCCACAGAATGAGAGCTTTTGAAGAATTTCAGATACCAAAAGCAGCCCAGGCTTGCTGTACTGCTTATTATACCAAAAGATGAGTCAATCGGTAAGCATTTATTGAGCACCTACCAAAGAAACTCACAACAGAGGACGATATGAGGGGCTTCTCAGGTGGCACTAGTGGTAAAGAACCCATCTGCCAATGCAGGAGATGTAAGAGATATGGGTTCAATCCCTGTGTCGGGAAGATCCCCTGGAGGAGGGGACGGCAACCCACTCCAGTATTCTTGCCTGGAAAATCCCATGGACAGAGTAGCCTGGTGGGCTATGGCCCATAGGGTCACTAAGAATCAGACACAACTGAAGTAACTTAGCATGCACACAAACTATATGGATTATGGGCTATGCAGATAGAATTTCTAAGTCCGCCTTTAAAAAGTGTTTATTATGCCAGAAACTAAATGGAGTATATGTTATCTATAACTGTACTGTACCAAAGAAGCACAACTCAAAATGAAGCATCCCTATCACTTTATTAGTTCTATTTTAATCTCACTGGAAAAATTACTTACTCCCAAATTACAGGCTCCCTAAGGCTAACAGACACAAATGACTCAAGTCATCATTTATGATCCCCATTTATGATCCCCAATTTAATCATCACCTAAATACTGTGCATTAATCAATGCATATTAAAATTAACTTTGGGAATCTAAACCAACAGAACCCCAAAAGTTTGAATACTAATGTAGGCAGATGCTTTATAATATTTAAACCGAAGAATATGTATTACATGGCTTTAATTGGAGGCTTTGTAAATGGATGTTATTTAACTTAATCAGGGAAGATTTAAATTAAAAGGGCTACTCACAACTTTCCTTACACTATTCCAACATAATGCTTAATACAGGCATAAAGCATAGGTGTCAAACATATACATAAATACAATGTAGAATTTAAATTTGAATGCCCTTACTTTAAAATGGCCAGTGTCATGGCTAATTCATTTCAATGTATGACAAAAACCACTGCAATGATGTAAAGTAATTAGCCTCCAACTAATAAAAATAAATGGAAAAAATAAATAAATAAATAAATAAATAAATAAAATGGCCAGTGTACCTGTCAGATTTCCCATTTGGAAGTTCAAGCAATGCTACTCTGTATGACTAAGACACTCTAAAGGTTCCATTAAGTCAGTTCTACTGAGCAATAGTTTTCAATGACTTTAAAGCAGGACTGTTTGTGACTTATGGTTGCCAAGGGGGAGGAGTGGTGAGTAAGGGATGGACTGGATGCAAACTATTATATATAGAATGGATAAACAATAAAATCCTACTGTATGGTACATGGAACTATATTCAATATCCTGTAATAAACCATAATAGAAAAAAATTTTAATTAAAATAAAGCTGGACTGTTTTTGGTCTGATGCTTACCTAGGCTGACTTATGAGATTGCAAAAAGTGCAACAAGATTGGCAATCTAACTCCTTTAAACAACCTACAGATCTAAGTCCTCAAAAAGATGAGGTTATAGATAGAACGCGAGGCAAATGCATATAGAATTATCCATCTCATTTACAAATGAGACAGGTGAGGTTCAGAAATAACGACACAGAAACATTTCAATACGTAGACATTTTAGTTTTAAAATATAAACCTGTTTGCTATATTTTATCTGTCTAAGACAGTTAGGCATTAACAAAGGAGGACCAGGTAACACAGAGAACAAATGAATCTCAAAAGGAGTGAGATTCTAAAACTGCCATGCAAGACAATCATTGCAAAGGGCCATATTATCTGCTCCTGAAGAGAGGGATACCCCACAGGCAGATGGCTATAACCTCCTTATGTTTTACACCAGGGGAAGGGGACAGCACACCACAGCCTCCCATTTGTTTCTGTAACTGAGGTTTTTGCTGGAACACAGCCACACTCATTCACTTACTACTGTTTATGGCTGCTTTCCCTCCATAGCAGCAACTGAGTAGCTGCAAAAGCAAGTCACCTAGCCTGCAGAGTCTAAAATATCTACAAACTGGCCCTTTACAAAAAAGTTTGCCCAACTCCTGCCCTATATCATACTGATGCTCAATTACTTAGTTCAGCAAATACAACTCTACACAGAAGTCTATAAAAATGGCTTCGGCAAAATAAAAAAATAAAAATAAATTATAAAGGTCAAATTACAAAGGAAGATGACCAGAGGTTAGAATATAAATTCTAGACACTAATTATTTAATTTTAGGACATGGTTAGAAAGCAACTTTAGGCAGGGTGATAATAAAATATTAAATGATGCTTTTCATTTCTTTCCAAAACAAAAAACATCTCTACAAATGCTGATAGACAAATTATCTTCCAGTTCTAAGGCCACCCATTCCCTGTTTCTTATATATATCTACCAGATAAGCTACAACAACTTTGCATAAAAAACATGAAAAAAAAAAAACCGAGATCAAATGGGAGTAGTGATTTCAGAATTTAAAAAAAAACAAAAAACCACCTAATTTGATAGGGACTCTCAAAGCATCTATTCCCCCAAGGCTTAAACCAGCCTTCCTGTATAATATCAGACAAGTCTCAAAACACAATATAAGCTCAATAAATGTTACCTGACTGACACAGCCTAAAAACTACAAAGTCATTTAACCATGATTTAAACCTAGGCATCCAACTGAATGTATCAGGTCTTAGTTATCTTCTGGAAAAACTACTGTCTCTAATGAATCATTTAAATTCTTGAGGTTTCAGTCACAACAAAAATGGGCTCACCACCTTTTCTACATCATCAACCTCCTCACTCTGGTAGTCAGAAACAACATCCACAATCTCATCAATAGAATCATCGGTTTTCTCATTCTCATCTTCTTCGTCATCCTCTTCCAACTCCAAAACAGTGAAGTCAGTACTGCTTCTCCCACCCGTCTTCTCTTGCTTTGGTTTTATCTGTTCTCCTGAGAGCAGTAAGTGACCTTGAAAATGTCCATCCCCTCTGCTCCCTTTCGCAGCTCTCCTAGGGACAATGGAGAAGGTTGTAGGACTAGAAATCCTACTCCAAGAATCACATTCAGTTTTTAAAATTCTGGCATTCTCAGTAGTTCCACTTTTTCCAAGTAAATCAGAGATACTGTGTTCTTGTTGAAACACATCTGAATTTTCCTTACAAGTTTTTGTTTCTTTAATTAACTGCTCATTTGTCTCGTTCTTGCCTTCTTGTGAAGTTCTAACATATTTCTGGGCCAAAGGGCCCTTTAGGTGTTTTCTCCACCTCTCCCTAATGCTGTCCTTCTCCAGAGACTCTCCACATCCCTTCTCCTTGGCCTCTGGCTTTGGATTAGATTGCTGCTCCACAACTCTACTGCCTGAAAATTCAACTTTGCTTTCTTCTTTAGAGATAATTGGAAATTCATTTGATTTTTCCTCTGGATTGCCTAAGCCTTTCTGCTGTTCCACTTTCACATCACCAGGTTTTTTAAGTTGCACATTATTCACACTTTGGACTGTCATGTTACTGGCTCTTCCAGAAATGGTCTTAACTTCTAGAACAGTCAGTTTTTCTTTGGAACTGTTATGGTTCCTAATCCCATATTCTTCCTCAACATCTTTATAGTCTTCACCTGTGTGTGAGCCAGTGCTACAGATATGCTCAGAAGGTTTAAGAGCTGCAGGCCCTTCTTCTATAAGGGATTCTTCATCTAAATGATCACCCCCATCTTCCAAGGAATCATTCAGAGTTTCTTCTGAGACAGCAGCTCCTGGGTTTTGTTTTATTATATTAGTCTCAGGCTCTACAGCTTCTCCTCCTGACTGCAGACCCTTCTTAGTTTCTTGCTCTGTTTTTAAAAAGCTTGTTTCATCTTTCTGGTCTGCATTCTGAGATTCTCTTTTCATCTGAAGTGAAGCAACATGTTGAAGAATGGAGCTGGGAACAGGTTTTTGTCCTGGGAGCTGCAACAAGGCAAAACTACCAGACTGGAGAGGAATAAGACTGGCTGTACCAACAGGCTGCCCTCCTGAACTATAGGTTAGTTTGGTTTCAGAGGTTGTTTTACTTGTGAAACTTTGTGGTTCAGGAGGGGAAATCCTCAGAGTCAATGTACCAGACTGAGACACAAAATTATGTCCAGAAGAAAGCAATGATGGTGCCTGAGTGATAACATTCATTGCTGGAGAAGACCCAACAGCCTGAATTACAGGATTCACAACGGAGAAAGCAGAGGGCGAAGCCGAAGAAGGTGGAGTCTCTGAAGGTTTGGAAGGAGTAGGTAAACGGATTCCCATCACAGACCCTGGTGAGGGGAAAAAAAAGCATTTTAAATCACCATTGCCCACATCAAAGACTTTCAAAGTACATATTTTTTTCCTAACAGGTGATTTCAAGAGACTGATAAGACCAATCCTGGTATATTAATATACCATATGACCAAAAGATTCAAGAAAAGAGAAACTTATCAAAAATATCTCTAACTTTATACCTGGGTTCCGAAACATGACAGGCTGTAAGTTGGGCTGGTTATTAGATCCTCGAAGCTGATGCAAAGGGAGAAGCTGGACAATCTGCCCATTAGGGTGCCTGAATAAGTTCATTCCACTTGGACTCCTAACAGGCTGCAAGACCATCCGATGTCCCTGAAGTTGTGTGTTTGGGACAGGTCTAAGAGTAGGAGAACCCTGCTGCACTGGAATCAACAACAATCGAGGTCCAGCACGTTTCACTGTGTTAGGAGAGACCTGTGGAGGAGCCACTGGAATCTGAGGGGCATTTTCTGAAAAACAGGAAATGGAAACATAGTATCAGAATTTCCCTTTAATACTTGGGAAAAAATAATTATGACAAAGAATCTAACCATGTTACAAATAAGTACAAGTTTAAATTACAGAGCTGGCAAAACTCTGTATGTCCATGATATATGACTTACAGAACTTATGGCTAAGAACAATTTACTTTAAACTTAAGTATTAACCAGACTTTACAGGGCCTTACATTTAGACAGGTAAAAAAAGAAAGTATCAACTGTAAAGAGGTGCATTTAAAGAGATAATACTTCTGCCTAATGAAAGAACATGGGCAGGCCTCTAAACCTGGATCTCATTAAAGTTCAAGTAAATGTTCTGTTCAACTTAAAAATTCAGGCTGTCAACACTTAACAGGCTTATGACTTAGTTTAACAGGTCTTACTCAAGGAAGAGAAAATCAAAGACTAAAAATCACAAGGTACCAAAAAAACCTCTTGACCTTTGAAGTTCACTGATGAATAAGCAAAGCATACAGATTTGTGAAAATTATTTTTCAGAAGGAAAAAACACACATATCCCCCCAAATGGAATGAAATTAAGAGACATCAAAGAAGTGGGGAAATAAAGCCTGGTTAAGAAGAGGCAGAAATTTAACGCAGAAGATGTGAATTAAGAGAGTTCAAAACATTAATAGTGCCGAAAGATGCACTTCAATGTCTGGAAGAAAACACCAAGGATATGGGAAAAAACAGTATGTGTTTTTGGTCACAGGAATAAACAAGTAGGAATAACGATAATAGTAAGCATAAATGAAAGTGATCTAATATTACCATTCAAATTACTGAACTTCTTTAATATTATTTTCAATTATTCTTTTTTTGACATTTTTAAATAAAAATTTTCATCAGTTTGTCACTAAACAGAAAAATTAACAAGCCAAACAAAACAAAGATTTTAATATGTAATATGCACTTTGCCCAAAAAAGGTATCAAATTTCTAAAAGAAAGTGACACTCCTTAACATTTACATGACAAATTACTATAGAAGATCCATGATTACTTTTGAAAAAGAAATAACACAAGACCAAACTGATAAAAAAAAGTGTGCAACTTTTTAAACAAACAAAAAAAAATCATCTATCTTATGTGATTAAGAAACATGTTAAAGCATTCTTAATTTCTTGAAAATTTCTACTCAAATTGTTTTACAGAATGATTCAAAACCAAATTACTCCCAAAGCAGCCTTTAACATACACACTAAGTAAGTGATTACTTATTGCACTTGTATGAGGGGAAGAAGGGAAAGACAAAGGATGGAAAGTCAAATCAAAGTCAGAGGTCTAAATCCCCGAGCTGAGATCCACTTTATGAACCTGTAACAAAATCACATATTTCCTTAGAAGTTGGCAGTGATGCGAGTCAGCTCCATTTATAGAAGACCAGATAAGAAAATATGCAACTAGCATTTTCCTCAAGTAATATTACATAAGATACTTTTAGGTGGTATGTCATAGAGAATAACACCATGCTAAACTGTCAGAATTTTAATCTTTTGATTAAATACAGAAGAAATTATGTCTCTGATATTACGTCTTTAATATTAAAATTAAAAAAAGACTATGCAAGTATTTTCTAACTTCCTTCATTAACAGAGAGCAGGTCACATGTTAAAAACACACAGGAGCTGGCTAGTATTTGATACTTATTATTATTATTGGTTCAGTTTATTTATTTAAGAGACTACCCTCCATTCTGGCAAATAATGTTGGTTTCCAATTACAGTAATATTGCTCCTTTTAAAAGTATATTTAAGTGAACGAACGACTTGATTTAAATAAAAATAGTAAATCAATTATATGAGAGTATAAATGGGAATCAGAGGAAAATACCTGAACGTATGTTCTGAGTGACTGAAATCTGAGAGAAAATGAACTACAAAAGGTAAACAACTTCACAGTTTCATGACATAATTAAAAGTATAAAGAAAGGTTAGAATACATGATTTAGAAGACGTGACCAGTTAAAATATGACAAGATGTGAACTGTGAGTTTCAAAAGAAAATAAAAAAGACTTCATCAACAACAATCTTACTTTTGAAATATTATTAGCCATTTTTTGGTATGTGTGTTAACAGGAAGTAACAAAAGACAACAAAACTGACACTGTCATCCACTTTTCCTTTCAACAGCACTTCAATTTACAAATCCCTTCTTTCCTAAAATATCTAGAGGGATTTAAACTATGCCCCTGAAGACAAAAATATTTAGTAGGAAAACTATCAATAACCAAGACAGAACTGTTGTCAGTTATTTTATTCCCCCTTATATCCTGTAGGGGCTTCCCTGGTGGCTCAGATGGTAAAGAATCTACCTGCAATGCAGAAGACCCAGCTTCAATCTCTGGGTCAGGAAGATCCTCTGGACAAGGGAACGGCAACCCACTCTAGTACACTTGCCTGGAGAAGTCCATGGACAGAGGAGCCTCGTCAGCTACAGTCCACAGGGTCACAAAGAGTTGGCCACAACTAAGCAACTAACACACACACTATATCCTGCAAAGCCTCGTCTCTCACACTCCTTTCCATACTAATTCTTCTTTGAGTCTACTAAGGTAACAACTTACTTAAGCTGGTTGAATTAGGATATAAAAGTGACCAAAGTGTGAACTATTTCTATTTCAAATTCACTTAAACTAAGCCAACAAGAGAAAAAATTTAATTTTAACTAAAAAGTTGACATGTAAAATATCAGAATCCTAAACAAAGAAATATGCTTCCTTATTTCTATTTCAATTAAGAGAATGTCAATAGTAATATAGGAGTTGGGCTGATTCACAAATGATGTTTACTAGGCAAGAGGACATAGAATTTTAATCTTAAACAAGGAGAGAAAAGGCCCTCAGCTTGGCTGCAACATAAGCAGAAGCCCTCTGATCTTTCCTTTTTAAATATAAAGCAGCAGCCCTCCCACTCCCAAAACAGGGCACACCTACATTTGGTTCCCTCAGAGATGTGAGCCCTTAGCTCTCAACACACAAGAGCTGCATGCTGCACCCACTTTAATGGCTGCTCTACTGGCTCAGACTTACACTCCCATATGAAGCATTTCCATTCTAATGCTTTTGAATATTTTTAATTTCCTGAGAAAATCTCTAGCCCCACTAAACAATCTGTTATGGCTGTTTATCTGGAAGGTAACAAGTTTTTATTAGCATTCTGGGGCTTCCCTGGTGGCTCACTGTAAAGAATCTGCCTTCAACGCAGGAGACCTGGGTTCAATAACTGGGTTGGGAAGATCCCCTGGAGGAGGAAACAGCTACACTCCAGTATTTTTGCCTAGAGAATTCCATGGACAGAGGAACCTGGCAGGCTAGAGTCCATGGGGTCACTAACAGTCAGACATGACTGAGCGACTTTCACTCACTCACTGGTTACAAAATTGCACAGATGTTCACTGATTGTCCTAACACTGTATTTACCATGATGTCCATTAGTTTTAGTGTTCAGTTTTGCAGAATGTAAACTTTTTTTTTTTCCTGTTATAGCAGAAACACTTGATATATACCTATAATTCTATCAGAACCACAAAGTTACATAACCAGCTATAAAGTAAACCAGCTTGTAACATCTAGGCCTTACCTGGTCTCTGGCTCACTGGTGGACTCCCATCAATTCCCGAGAGTATAATGGGAACAGAGCTCTGAGATGAAGTTGGTGTGGTCACCATGGAAGAAGATGCAGCTGTGGTCACCACGACTATGGAGGTGGAGGCAGTGGAAGCAACAGGAAGAGTTATGGTTGGAGGAGATGCTACCAAAGACTTAGGAAAAGCAACTGAAGCCACAGGGGTAGTTATCCCAGTCGTTTTGATAAGGTTCAAAGTGGCTGTAGACTGGGTAAGTGTTACAAGGGTGCTGGTATTAGTTTCAGTGACCTCAACAACCCCTGCAGTGGTGGCACCAGAAGAATAAGTAGTTTCTTTAGTTCCCACGTCAGATAGAGCAGTCGTAGGTATCACAGCAGGAACATTTTCTAAAAACACTTGAGGGGTGGTAGTAGTGACAGCAGCAGTCACAGAGCTGCACACCTGAACTGGCTCAGAAGAAACCACAGGTGTGACGACCATTACTGGAGAAGGTCTGATACTGAACTTCTGTGGCCCTGTTAGGGGTTGGGGTGTGCTAACTCCAGGGATCTTCTGCTGCAGGGCTCCAACTTTACTCATCACAAACTGTGTGAACACACCACCAGGAGAGGGTCGAGCCGCTGCAAATAAAAATTTGCAGGTCAAAAATCTTCAGTTCTCATATTTCATCCTTGTAGTGATTGTGTTTATCAACATTTACTGTGCACCACTGGGTCTATTTCTTACAGGTACTACCTACCTGTAGTCAAACATACCTGTCCACCCAAACCTAACTTTCAAAATTCTAACAACTAAAGGGAATAAAACTGGACGTTCCTTCTGAAATTCCTTTGGTTACACAATACAGTCAAACTGCCAGAACACTAAAAAGACTGTAGAGCACAGCAGCATGCAACTTCATCATCTAAAACAGAGGAAGAAAATAAGGAAATTGTATTCCTAATTCTAATTTTAAAATTTGTTTGCACCACTTCCTTCTGTCACAGCACCTCTACCTCTTTATTGCTGTCCTTTTACAAGACAGTAGTTTTGCATTTTAGAAATATGCAAAAAGACATTTCAGAAGAGGGCAGGATAAGACAATCTTTTCTTTTTTTTTTTAAATCACCAGTTAAAGCTACCTTTTTAACAAGAGGTAGAAAGAGTTCTTTTTAAGGCAATGCCTATACTCCATCTTCACACAACTCCAGCATTTAGCCAGAGATTTCAATTTCCTATTAAGAGGAATAAAAACACAGCAAACATTTTTACTTAACATTTCTAAACAGATGTGAAAAAACAAAAAGAGGACTCCAATAAAATCAACTGTATATACTATCCATTCTAAAACACAAATGATTTCAAGGAGGCAATTTATTACAGACTCTGAGATGTTAAATAAATTAGGTTTTTACTCAAAGAATAGGGATAAATATAATAAAGCAATGTTCCCAGAATTATGTTTTACAAGAGTCTTCTACTCTAAGTCTATACTAACTCAATGCATTTTGATTTTGCTAGCTCCTTGGTTTCATAAACTCGAGGAACACACATACGATTGGTTACCAAAAACACCAGTCCTCATTGGAGAAAATAGTAAATTAGGGAAAGTACTTAGGAATATGTATTCCCTTCTGCAAAACAAAATTAAAAAGCTAAGTCTTTTCTACATTAACAAAACCAGTATAAAAGTCTGGGAAATAACTATAAAACTAACTATAATTCAATTTATTTAGTTTTGTAGGTCACCAGAAGAGTTACTAAAAAATTAGTTAAATTCAGGCAAGATAAACATCAAGGAAAAAAAGTGCCAACTTCTATATTTCTCTAAGTTTTACAACCTCCATTTCTGTATACACTGGCCCAGCACCAAGTCACAACCCTTCCCAAAACATGTAAACAGTCCAACTTACCAATTGGTCTTTTCGCCGGGACAAACGCCTTCAGATTCTTCCCAGGGCGATTTGTTGTAGTGCCAGATGATGCCGTTTTGGAATTGGATGTTGAAGGCAACAGGGTACGTGGTTTCCTGGATGCAGCCACCTTGGCATTGGATGCTACCTTGGAGATGACAGTACTGAGGGTTGAGAGGTCCAGGACTGAGGGTCGCAACCTGCCTGTGATATAAGCAGCTAGCCTATTGGCTGGATGCAATGCCCCCATCTGTCCCAATAGCAACTTAGCCTGCGGGTAACTCTTACCATTAACCTGAAACAAGTGGCAAAGAGAAATTCTGTAAAGATAAAATTCTCTTGCTAACTCATCTCCCTTGACAAGGGTTTCATTTTTACAAGATTTTAAAAGTCTATTTTTCAGATTTAAAGGGAAAAAGAAATGGACTTTTCCCATTTGGTATAATCTGAGTATTTAGGAGATGAAAAAAAAATGCTGCCATCTGATATTCTCAACTAATCTCATCTCCTTCATTTTGGAAGTTTAAAAACAGAGAATCTTAGAAACTCATCATACCTGCATTCTAGATTTGTGGAAGATACAGTCAAATCTAAGGAATCATCCAACTGATTTACTTGTCAATAAGCAATTATGGTTGAGCTATTAATAATCATCAGCCTAAAAATGATAACTGTGTTCCACAGAATCTCTCTGATGAGACCAGAGGCATAATGAAGCTTTCTCACAAGGGTCCTTCATTTTTGAAAAATACATGGAAGTCTGCTTTAAGTTATGAGAAAGTCACTGTTACAAATACCTAAGCGACAAAGTCACCTTAGTTTTCAGTTTTCAAAAAAGTCAATTTTGAAGACAATTGTCTTCATCTTTTGCACAAAACCTGGACTCAAATGCTAGTTGAAATCTATTGTAGTTTTTTTTAAGTTGCCACTAAATTGTCAGAAGAAAGTCAATCAATGAATGAGGTAAAGATTTTTCTCTATTGCCTGAGCTGACAGACTGCCCATCTTACACAGGAGAATCATTTTAAAAAGAAAACAAAACTTCCCAAGTTTCTCACCTAAGTTCTCTATGTCTTATTGCTAAATGACTATAGCAGAAATCTTTTTCCATCTCTCTTTTCCATCACTTAAAGGGGGTGAGGAAGTGGAGTAAGGCAGAGAAAATCCTACTCTCTAAATTAATACAGAACTGGTAAGGAGAATAGCTACACCAAGCTACTCCCTCTTCTAAGACACAAAATTACTCTGTTACTTAGGGAAAATTGTTATTTCCAGACAGATCAGGTATCTATTTGCCCTGAGTTTGAGCCAAAGAATATGATCTTTCCATCCTGGAATAAACTTTCCTACACAGTTTTCCAGGCTCTGTGGAGTCTGGATCAGATACTCCTGTCTTCTCCTTTGGGACTTGCTCTGAAGACTATTCAGCAGCTTTCCCAAAGCATACCTTACAGTGGCCTGACTGCTATGCAGGTTCATATTTTATGGGGGCATTCTGAGTCCTAGACAGGAGAACACAAAATTTCTATGACTGTATTTGAAGGGGGCCTAGTCTCACTAAAATATCAGGTAAGTTGCTGTTCTCAAAGCATCAATCAGTAAATGAAACAAGGAGAAAACACTCTCATCATTAAGAGTTTAAGAAATATCAACAGAAGCAGTTATATAGTAACTGCAGTAGAAAGTTTTTAATTAAGTAGATCAGTTATAATGGTGACACAGTCCTTAACCCAGAGGAGCAGTTGAGCTAGTAAAAGTCAAGTAACCTTAACAGTAATGTCAGACATGACCCCACATTTGGTACTCTGATATAAAAGTGCATTTACTGTCACCAAACAAAAGGAGAAACTCTTTTGGACCTATGACTACATTTTACCTCAGAACTTCCCTTCAAAAAGATTTTTTACATGCCAGTGTAATTTTACTAGTATATCTGCCTGAAGTACTAAATAGCAAGGATATAGATATTTGCCCTATAACAAAGATTAGACTGGCAAGAACTCTATGAATCAAATAAAGATAAAATATGTAAACTGTGGCTCAATTTTTTAAAAATTCATGTATTTGAATAACATCTTCCTAAATTTAAATTTTCTCCCAAGTTTTCAAACATATACTGCTTATCTTAAAAATTAATTTCACTTCATTTTAAAAGTTATCTGCTAATAATAATCCCAAGAAGTAGACTGAATCCCTTACTATTCTTGCTTGACTGTCAAAATATCACTATAGCCTAGGTAGAATAGCTTAAGGGCAACTTTCTAGGAAGGCTAGAAAGAAAACTATAAGCTAATACAGGGCTCTACCTTTCTGTTTGTAAATATGCCAAAAATTCACCATAGGTATGCACCTAACCTAGGCCTATTACAAAAAGAGATGACGATTTTGTCACCCAGTTCCCAGGGAATGCAAAGATAAATAATGTAAGGCCCACAACGGGCTCTGAAAAATCAAGGTGGTACCTAAGTATAAAAAAGTGCTACATCCAGATTAAAGATAATTCTCACCTGGATAAGCCCAGATGTGCTTGAACTGGGTTTACGTTTATAGGCCACAAGCTTCCCTGCAGGAGAAAGCCCTGCATAAAAGGGCAGACCTTTGCCTCCATGTAATCTCTCCCTCACTGAATCCAGGGCATCTGTCTGCACGGGAGAGACATCATCCATTTTCCCAGGGGATAATGGACCGTCAGGAGTCTCTGATCCAGATTTCTCAGCCATATCATCTTGATCTTGACATGATGGCATAGAGATTTTCACACGAGAAGAATAAACAGGAGGATTCTTTTCACCCCGGCTCTTTCGCTGAGAAGCCAACTCAATGATGAAGCTGCCCACCTTAAGTGACTGTGGCATGTTGCTATTGATGTGCTGGGATAAGATGCTCAAAATCTTGTTCCGATCCTCCTCCCAGTTGCAGTCTGAGATGATCTCGATCAGTTTGGTGGGACCACCAGGTGACCTCTGATGCACATAGGAGGTAGAAGCTGATTCCCCTTCATTGCAGGAAGACTTCCAGCTCTTTTCTGATAAGAAATTGAAAGATATTTCTGTATTATAGCATTTTGTACTGAACTTTGAAAGATTTTCATTTTTCCTGAGTTCTCAGAAAAGTGCCAGGGGCATAGATATTCAACAGTTGCCCAGTATCCCATTCCCAGGGACTTTCAATGGTAAACTGACACAATTTGGGAGTTTTCCATGAAAAAAAGAAAAAGATTCCAGAAAATCAGACTATAATAGTCTTCACTATTCTACTCACTGGGCTCTCTTAATAAAAGTGAATCCCTCTTGAGACTGCTCTAAAAAGCCATTAACTATTACATAAGAAGGTACTATCTTGCAAACAAAGTATATAACCAGGGTTAGGCTTATTTAGTATAGTGTACTTGCTATCCATATAAGCAAAGCAAAGATACTCACAAGATGCTTTGTAATATGTGAGGGGTAGGGTGCTTCCCTGGTGGTCCAGTGGTTAAGAACTGCCTTGCAATGGGGGCTATGCAGGTTCAATCCCTGGCTGGGGAACTAAGATCCCACATGCTACTGGCAACTACAAAGTCATGCCTGCCTTGCATAAGACTGGTTGCAGTGATATAAATAAAAAATAAAAAAATATGTGAGGGGTAAAGTCAATCCTAAAAAAACAGCAAGAAAGATGATGTTTTTGTTGGGGGAAAAACCCCTACACTCTACCTCTAGTTTCCACTGCAAATATTTCTGAACTACTTCTGTGCCTCTGGATATGATTGTTCCACTTCTACATTTGATGCAAGACCACTCAACTCAAGTATGTTTACATTCATGGCAACACATTAACTAAATATACATTTCACTAGCTAGATTTCTATAGCAGGATCTCCCAACCAATGTGCTACAGTTATCGATACATCAGGATAGCCATCCCCTCAGCCTTCAGGGTGATCATGCTAACAGTCACCCCCTCCACTTGCCTCAATGTGCTAGCAACATTATCATTTTGTATGTTTATCATGCCATAAAAAAAGTTTAGGAAACACTGCTGCTTAAATGTCTGATGTCTTAAGAAGCAAAATCAAAAACACATAGTTAATTCCCTAGACACTACCTTAATCATATTAATTCGAGCAGTAACATTTACTAGATAAATCAGTGATACTCCTTCCTTTCTCCCTCTGTATTCTCCAACTGCAGCAACTATTGAGAATCTCAGGTAAAATTTCAGTAACTAATGATGTCAATATTGCTGAGGTTTGTAAAATTTTAAAAAAAAAATCAGCGACCTCATCCTAAATGTTTCTTACAACATACCATACCACGAATACCAACAAATTGTATTTCTTAAAACAGGAGTGATAAACACAGCAAATAACTGGGAAAAAACTTACCTACAGTCTCTATTTTTACCAAAACTAGAAACAAGGTAGGTAAACATGCTCTGGGGGTTCCCCCCCATTATTAGTATAATCCAGATCTATATATTAATAATTACTATTGAATGATAAGTCATAGTTTTCATTCTGACCTTGTGATTTATCAGAATCATCCTCCAGGTCACAAGTGAGTGGTTTCAAAGGCTGCTGTTCAGAAGCTGGCTCCTGACAAAGAGAACACCACAAATACTTCAATTCAACACATATTTAATATCAAGAGACTAGGACATAAGAATTAAATCTCTCAAGAAAGCCTAAACTAATATAAAAATTAAAGTACTCAAAGAACATCTTGACATCAACACGCACAGTTGCATTACCACCACACTATACAACCATAAAAACAAGTAGTCTTGCTGTTTAACATCTGTGACTGAGTTACCAAGAAAACAATTAACATTGCATTTATAGTGTAATTCTAATAGAGAAGGAAAAATATTTGCTGTTTAATGAAACAAGTTTCAACTATTTAGAAAATTCACCAATGCAGAAAGATGCAAATCCTAAAAAACCACATTATTAAAACCAAAAATGTAAAAAATAAATAAATAAAACCAAAAATGTTTAAATTTTCAAAATTACTCCAACATCAGAAAGAGTAATGCTTTTAAAATGACCTTAAGGGAATATGCTCTAGAACAGGTATGCAGAGAAACATAAATTGATATGCACATTATGCAAACCTTCTCTGCCCCTAAAGAATTACTTCATACTATTCCAACAGTAACGCAAATTCTAATACTAGCAACAAGGAATTGGAAGTTAAAAAGAGAAATCTATGCAATAAGGAATTCACCTTTACACTACAGTTCTCAGGACTAGAATGACATGAGCCCTGCTGCTGAAATGATGGGGATGGTGATGGTGATGGTTCTCTCTCTTCCTCTTTTTTTCGTTCATACACTCGAACTCGGGCACAAGTCATCATACTTTCAAAGTACAAGTAGACTGGATCCTTGTCTTCTTCCCGAATCTGTAAGTTTCATACAACAAAACATTCCAAATATTGGGGGGGGAAGTCTCCAGGACTCCAAAAGGAAAAGGATGTAATCTTTGCTTCTATTACAATACTTAAAAATTTTTAATGCAAACTTTAAATAGTACAGTTATGGTTTGTATGGGCTGCCTCTTGGGGCAGTCAGAAAGGCTCTGTTTCTCTTTCAAGAAAATTCAGCACACCAGAGCAGTGCTTCTCAAATTATCTGCAGTGAAGGATAAATTTCTTAATTACCTGTCACACATAGACTGATATTTTTGGAAAAGACAGTAAAATAAATTACTGGGAAAACAAAGATCAAGTTTTTCAGTATTAGATTTAATAGATTAAAATTTCTCTATCAACTTGGGGCAAAAGTTTCTAAATATCTTTCACTTTTTATACGTATTTCATCACAGACTAGTAACAAACAGTGATAGATTAGCACTGTATAAAGACCATACTAAACAGCACTGTACTAAACAATCTTTCTTCAATTTAATTAAACAGAAAGACTGAAATAGATTTACTAATAATCAGAACTGCTTAAGCTATCAACACAAGAGAAGCATCAGATCTTCTACCTATCGTCTTCACCTGGTCATGCAACTATTATTTTAAACCTTGAACTTTATTGTATATAAAGACAATTTGCTTTAAAAAGATCAGTTACTCTTTAAAGTTTCTTTCTAATGCTTTTCTAATGGTGTGTACTACATCTCAATCACTCAATATTCTATACTACAGGAGTAAGAGAACATTTAGAAGACTTTTGCCAAGTCATTTTTTAAAGCCGATTTGATATGATCCTCCTAAAGAGAGATTTAGCTATCTTTAAGAATTATAGTAATTCTGCACAGGTCCATGTACAGCTTTTCTTCAGTAGTAAATACTATAGTACTATATGATCCTCAGTTGGTTGAGTCCACACATGCAGAACTACAGGCACAAAGAGCTATCTGTAACATTACACTCGGACTTTCGATTGCACAAAGGGTCTACACTCCAAACCCTCCCTGTTGTTCAAAGGTCAATCATACTACTATTCACTCTACTTTTATGACATTTTAAAAATTAATTTATTTTTTATTGAAGGATATTGCTTTACAGAATTTTGCTGTTTTCTGTCAACTTTTATGACACTTTCATGCCATCAATTAAACTGACTAAATCAGAAAGGGAGATGGCTTGCAGACATATTACCTGAAAGCACCATGATTCACAAAATACAAACCAAAAATCTGGTTGAAACCCATTACCTTTACAAATGATTTTTATAACTTTCAACAAAAGATGTAACTCCAAGCTTACCACAGGATTGGGTTTGGGAGTATATGCCCTCGCAGGTTTAATTCCAGTGAGCAGTTTGCCCTTCACAGTAGTAGAGGAAACTTCTGGCTGAGGCAACAACAACGGTCTCATAGGCTCAATGACAGAAGGCGTTGGGATGTACACCGGCTCTGGGTCTACTTCACCTTCTACTTTCACCCAGAGTGGGTAATGTCGGACAGGCTGCTCCGGTTCTGTTTCACAGATAGCTTAACAAGAAGAAGGGTAAGACAAAAGTTCACTGAGGCATTGTCAAAACAAAATATTCGCCCTCATAAAAAGCATTAACTCATTAAAATAATCAAACAGATAGATACCCCCTAAGAAACCTTTAGTTGGCCCTCATGAACCTTAATTAATTTATCTATTAACCAAGTATTTATTGAATACCTATTATAAATCAGGCACTGCTTTAGATCCTAGAGTGAAAACAGCTATGACTAAAACAAAGTTCTTGCCTTCACAGAGTTTATAATCCACAGGAGAAAACAATCTAATAAACATATAGTATCAAGTAATAAGAACATAGAAAAATACAGATGGATAAATAAAGGAGTTAAGAGGAGATGCTATTATAATTAACATGATCAGAAGAGGCTTTCTCTATTATCCTGGAAAGATAATCATTCTACACTATGCTTTTTAATTTTACAACTAACAAGTACTTTTTGAACCTCACTATCTACAGATTCTAAGCACTTACTATGTTTTAACTCATATAACTGTAACAATAGTCCTTGAGATATTATTATTCCCATTTGGTTCCAAATAGGGAAAGGAGTATGTCACAGTTGTATATTGTCACCCTGCCCATTTAACTATATGCAGAGTACATTATGAGAAACGCTGGGCTGGATGAAGCACAGGCTGGAATCAAGACTGCCAGGAGAAATATCAATAACCTCAGATATGCAGATGACACCACCCTTATGGCAAAAAGTGAAGAAGAACTAAAGAGCCTCTTGATCAAAGTGAAAGAGGAGAGTGAAAAAGTTGGCTTAAAACTCAACATTCAGAAAACTAAGATCATGCATCTGGTCCCATCACTTCATGGCAAATAGGTGGGGAAACAGTGACGGACTTTATTTTCTTGAGCTCCAAAATCACTGCAGATGGTGACTGCAACCATGAAATTAAGACTCTTGCTCCTTGGAAGAAAAGCTATGACAAACCTAGACAGCATATCAAAAAGCAGAAACATTACTTTGCCAACAAAGGTCCATCTAGTCAAAGCTATGGTTTTTCCAGTAGTCATGTATGGATGTGAGAGTTAAGACTACAAAGAAAGCTGAGCACCGAAGAATTGATGCTTTTGAACTGTGGTGTTGGAGAAGACTCTTCAGAGTCCCTTGGACACCAAGGAGATCCAACCAGTCCATCCTAAAGGAAATCAGTCCTGAATATTCACTGGAAGGACTGATGCTGAAGCTGAAACTCCAATCCTTTGGCCACCTCATGAGAAGAACTCACTCATTTGTAAAGACCCTGATGCTGGAAAGACTGAAGGCGGGAGAAGGGGACAACAGAGGATGAGATAGTTGGATGGCATCACAGACTCAATGGACCCGAGTTTGAGTAAACTGTGGGAGCTGGTGATGGACAGGGAGGCCTGGCGTGCTGCAGTCCATGGGGTCGCAAATAGTCTGACATGACTAAGCAACTGAACTGATACTTTGCAAAAGCTGAGGTTCAGGGAAGTCCAATAATAAGAGGCAGAACCTGGATCAAACCCAGTCAATCTGGTTCCACAGCTGTTACTGTTGCCTTCTGATGACAACTTCTATTCAGAAGTTAGCCTGAACTCAGCATAGAAGCAAAAATACATCAACAGGAAAGCAATGAAACCTGACTAAGATGAAATCATACCATCATAAGTTCTACACAAAGGAAAACATGCACTGATTCTTAACCAAATTAAATGGAGGAGCTAGGTTAACAGGCTTCTTTTTCAAAAGCAAATTGCCTATTCCCATCAATAAGACAAGAGAAGCAAACACTGTGTTTTGCATTTCAATGATCAGTGCTCAGAGAGGATAGCTCTTAACCAAAGACCCACAATCTTTGCCTAAAATCACATAAATGGAGCAACTAACACTTAATCTTGCGTAATAAAGCAGTATCCAAACTGCTACCTGATCTCATAAGAAGTCCATTTGCTCTGAACACTAAGACCCCACTACTGATGAATAATTTTGTCTAAAGTCTCCTAAGGCTAACATCATTCAGAGTGTAACTATAAAATACAGAATAAAGGCTTAAAGATTAAAATACCAAGGGAGAAAAAACCTTCTGAGCTAGAATGTGATTGAGTTAATTCATTAGCTACTTAGCAGCCTCTGTTATCCAACATTTATAACATAGCTTATTATCACATGATTCACAAAGGCTGTTAAGACCCCAGTATTCATTCAGGTATTCAAATATTTGAACATTCGTATGTATCAGACTTTGTAGACATAGTACTGAACAAAACTGATATAAAAAAATCTTGCTTTCATGAAGCTTATATTTAGAGGAAAGAGGGTAAGACAGTCAATAAATGGGAAAATAATGCAAATATGTTGGATTTTCAAGTGCTTATGAGAAAAAACCAAGCACAGAGAAGTACTGATAAACAGTTTGTTTAGTGAGTATGTATGAGTATATCTTTTAAGGGGGATGGTTGCAATTTTTTAAATTTTTAAAATTTAAATTTTTAAAAATTTAAAAAGGGTAACCAGAGTGCCCTTACAAAGAAGGTGGTGTATATAGAGCCTCTACCACTCATTTAGTTAAAGCTTTGTTGTCTAGTTCTATGAATTATTTCACACATATTAATTTTACTAGATAAAAGGCTTCAGGTCAAGCAATACTGTCTTACCTCTTTCAATCATCTTTTAAGGACTTTCTAAGCCTCCATAAGCTAAGGATTTACTAAGAACTCTTTTCATCTTTTTTCTTTTGAAAATAATAGCTCATAACTTCACAATACTTCAGAAGAAAACCCCTTAAAATCTCTAAACATATTAATTCCTTACAGGGATCAAAAACAACTAAATTTTCAATTGTGGATAAAACAGAAATTGTGGCTCCAGTAAATAGGAGAGTTCACAAAATCTATTGAATTGAGTTCTGTTGAGGGCAGTGTTAATACTGGAATGACAGCAACTAGGGTAAGCATTAAAAATTAAGACTACCATTGGCAGAGACTACACCTGAAGCCATGAAAATGGACAGACTCCACACAAGACCCTAAACAACAGTCCACTTCCTCACACTTCCTTGACCCTGCTGTCCACTTGACTCCTTTACACAGTCTGGACTCCAAGACTGAAAACTTCTCTTTCCCCCTTCACAATACACTTGAGATACTCCTACCTTTCATCCGAAACCCAGATAAAGGAAGCTAGCAAAGACACAATGAGGGCAGAGCCAGAGTAGCATATACTCACAGAAGCCAAGAACAGAAACCTGTTTCAACAATATAGTAATATCCCCTTGTTTCTATTCAAATGCCTTCTAAATACACACCATCTTCCCAAGGTTCCGTGGCATTATCATTTTGCCTTCTGAGTTCTCAAAAAGCCTTTTGTTCATGATACTTAAAACATGGCACTTTTGTTACTGTGGCACTTAAAATTATCATAAATATATATCTACATGTTTACCTGTTCATAAATTGACAGTAACTTCTTACAGACGGACTTAGTTTTAACTGTCTATATCTTAATTCCTCTCACTCCTAGCAGTGCTCAGAGTACTTGCTCCATGAATGAAGTGTTGGGCATGTAAGTCCCAGAAAACTGCTTATGCTAACAATCAGCATACTATATTCATCTCCCTCCCATTCTGAAGGCATTTTAAACCTCTTTATTGTGAAATATAATACCCATATGTACAGAAACAATGTATATACAACTTAGTATCAATACATATTAACAAATATACAACCATGTAAACTCTATAAATGTTAAGAAATGAAATATTGCCATAAACTCCAGAAGCCTTTGTGTGCCTTTCTCAACCATAATCCCTTCCTACAAGCAACTCACTTAAATTATTAGCCACCTCTTTGCATTCCTTTTTAACACCAAACATCACCATTAAACATCACAGTTTAATTTTGTCTACTTTTGAATTACAGAGATGTGTTCCCTGCCTAGCCTTTTTCCTTCTCATTCAACATTTTTGTAAAATATATCTATATGTTACACATAAATCATTTATTTTTACTGTGGTATATACTATCCACTGATTATTCATACTATTATTTATTTATTCTAATGCTATCAGATATCTGGGTTTGTTTTCAGGTTTTAGTTACTGTGAGTCATTGTGCCAAAACACTGTTATAGAATGCAGTTCTGCTGGTTACTTTGGAGTCAAACTACTAGACTAAGGGCACATGAATCACCAATCCCAGTAGAAACTGTCAAACTACCTTCCAAAGTGCTTATACCAATTTACATTCCCACTAGCAGTACATCAAACCTCCCATTTATTAAGAGCTGATACCATCAGAGAATTTTAATTATAACCATTTTTGTAGGCATGCAGTACAATCTTGCTGTGGATGTAGTTTGCATTTCCAATTATAAATAAGATGGTCAACATACCTCCTCAAGTGCCTCTAAAAGACTTGCCCCCACTTTAAAAAAAATATTTACATTTATTTGGCCATGCTGAATCTTAGTTGTGGCATGCAGGATCTTTAGTTACGGGATGAGAACTCTATAGTTGCTGCTCAGTTGTGGAATGTGGGATCTAGTTACCCAACCAGTGATCGAACCCAGGTCCCAAGCACAGTCTTAACCTCTGGGCCAGCAGAGAAGTCCCAGACTTGCCCTTTTTTAACGGGACCGTTTAATTCTGATTAATCTGCACCAATATCTCTATATATTCTGGATACAAGTCCCTAAATATTGCAAGTATCTATTTTCTCACTGTAGCTTACATTTTCACTTGCTTAATGTCTTTAAGATCTGAGTTTCTCATTTTTAACTCATCATATGTATTGACTTGGCCAAGAAGTTTGTTTGGATTTTTCTGTAAGATATTATGGGAAAATCTGAATGAACATTTTGGCCAACCCAAAAAGGACTGATAATTTTCTTCTATCACACTTAAGAACACTTCAACTAATATGAGATCATACACACACACACACTTTTTTAAACATTATCTTCTAAAAGTTGTGTTGGTTAGCTTTGACAATTGGGTCTGTAATCTATGTAGAAATTATTTCTATGGATAGTGTGAGGAATAGAGTTTCATATATCCCCCATATGAATATTCAATGATTCCACCAACATTTACTGAAGAGATCATCCTTTTCCTTACTCTTCTGCCAATTTTGTCAATCAACTGTTTATGTGTTTGAGTCTAGTGCAGCCTCTCTATTCTATCTACTGGTCTATTCAGTTGATACTCAAGCCAGAAGCATCTTTTTTGTTGTTGTTGACCACACCACACGGCACATGGGATCCTAGTTCCCCGACCAGAGATCAAACCCTCGCCTCCTGTACTGGAAGCATGAAGTTTTTAACCACTGGACTGCCAAGGAAGTCCCCATCCCATCTTAAAATGAGAGTTCTATAACTTTTGACATTTAGCAAGCAAGACTTATGGCCTTGTTCTAGACTGCCCTGGCTATTTCTAGGTGCATTTTATATATATAAAATTTTATATATATATAAATTTTGGAGTCAGCTTTTCAAGTTTCACATAAAAAGTTGTCACAATTTTGATTAGGATTGCAATGATTAGAACTGCAATGAAATTACAGATGAAAAAGAGAAGAAACACCATTACAATATTCAGTTTTGCTTGCTAGGAGTCTTTTGGGTTTTGGGTTGTTGTTGTTGAAGAATGGATACTGAGGGGTTTCTGGGGAGATGATGGAGTAGGCAGCAGCAGGATATATGACTCTAGATGTGAACAATAACTGTACTGGCACAATCTGATATATTTTGAAACTCTGGAGTCTGAAGAATTGCACCTTTCAGGGGAGGACTGGGACAGTAAACTTTCATCAGGTTCAATTACAGTTCTTGGCACAATACCAGCTACTCATTCCTCATCACCTGGTCACCTGGCAAGCAGCTGTGCACGTGTTCCTGGAGCAGCTTACAACACAGTGGGAGCCAGGGTGGGCAGAAAGGACTTTGCCCTCTAAATATCAAGGAATCTCAGTGTGGAGATTTCTTAAAAAGCTGGAAATAGAACTGCCATATGACCCAGCAATCCCACTTCTGGGCATACACACCGAGGAAACCAGATCTGAA